CAGTGATGGCTCGAAGACCGGGACGGGTATCCGAAGGGGAGGCACACGCATCCTCTCGACAGGTTCGAGACAATCGGGATGATCTCGAAGTTCTGTTTATCGCCTTGCTATGAAGGACGAAGCAGCATCCGCATTGCGCTCCGCCGGGAGCTCACGCGGATCCAAGTGAGGAGCAGGTAGTTTCGGGTTGGAGCAAATCGTCAAGTGTTAGATCGTGTGTGGCTGATCTCGAAGTTGAAAAGGCTGAGAGCTGAACGACGTTGGGTGGCCGTTGATGGGGCAATGGCTCACGTCCAGGTCGGAGGGTTGGTCACAATGATCGTCGTCCAAAAGTCCGAGGTACCTTGGTAAACTCGCCTGGCGTCACTTGCTGACAAGTCTGACTATTCGAAAAGTAGAGAACAGCAATCGAGGAACCCAAGTGGGAAACCGATAACTCAGAAAATTCGTTCAGTTTGTGGCATTACCAGCTTCGTCACTGTGATGATGAACTCGCGAAGAATTCCGTGGGTACGGAGTAAGGCGACGGGAGTCGGTCCCAGAGCTGGGAAGCTGGCAGCGCAGGCAGGGTTCTTCACAGGCGGCGAGCGGTGGAAGGGGTTCCCGCCTGGGCCATGCAAAGTGGGCACGGGCTGGCCTGACCTCGCAACCAGGTGGTTGCCAAGTCTCCAGGGTTCACTCAATTGAACGGCTTCGATTCCCCACGGAGATCTCGTTCACACGTCAGCTGAGTGTCTCGCCGGCGAAGGATGCAACCCGGCTGTTGTCAAGATTGCAGATGCTACAAATATCGCCACAGTATTATCGTCATCATCATCAGCAGTTGCGGTAAAGGACGAAGAAACAGTCAAATGTTCAAGATGTGCTTTTTGCTGAAAAAAAAACCGACGAGTGTTTCAAACTTGGACTTTGCTCTCGGCGGCTACTGAGAAACTTGATTCCCTGACAATTTTGGGATGACGGCCAACTCTCAAAAACCGGCCATACAGAGCACGCAGCCGATGCGGTGCATCAAGACTCGAATCGGTGGAATTTAAATACGAGAGAGCCCTGTCTACAGTGCTCCAGCGTTCATCGTACCCAGAACTTGTTGCTCGTAACTTGAAGCTAGCTTTTCTGCTCACTGAAATAATCTTTATGCCCGACCAAAATCAGGTGGATAACCCGGCTTCATTGTGATGGAACAGACGTGGGGAACTCCCGATACCCGCAACCGGCTTTCACGAAGCTCTTGAAAGGAAATTCCTCTCCCTCGACTTCAGCTTGAACAGCCAATTTCCATGGACACTCGTGATCCGTGGTCGTATCGGGCAGTCAGCGCTTCATAACGTTGATTCCAAACAGGAAACTGCACCCAGCAGCTTGAGCCAGAAAGCGATCAATCTGCCTCGAGCTGCTGCGGAAGCGTCTCCTTGCTCGAAAAGGACCCCACCTTCCGGTGGCTGGGTCGTTCGTTGTCCATCAGTGGACGGCTATCCGGGTCCCGGAGACCACCGCCACCATTCGAGCTGCACTAACACCAAAGGCAGCCACTGGGCCGAAGGCTGAGCATCTTGCTCGGTGGCTTTCTTTAGCAAAGCGTCAATTCCTTCCCAACTTCATTGCCCCTATTCCCAAGGCTGTACCTTACATCGTGCCGCGTGCAAGTCTCAGATCGCACCACACCCACTTTGGTGGGAGGTGTTGCTAGGCAGATTAATACTTTCTCTGATAAGACTATTTCGTGCCAATCCGACTGGCCAATCCGAGCGACAAACCCGCTGATGCGTCACTCTGGTGAGACCTAGACGGAGTACGCATCGCTTACGGCCCAATCACCCCCATCCAATCCCATCACCGACTTCTCAAGCGACTGAAATGCCGTCCGTGTAGTGCTCACGGCTTGAACCCTAACCCGAGTTCTGTTTTGGCAGCTTAAAAGAAACTTGGAAGATATATGAAACCGTTGTAGTCTTACACTTACCATATCACAACCATTATATACACGTGTAGAACCATCAGCTGATAGCCGGCGGAGCGAGACCTGATTAAATGATGTTAAAATGAGCATGAATTTACAGTCTTGTTTTCTCTCCATATGTCCATACATGAGTCCTAGCAAGATCCAAATACAACTGTATTACAACTGAACATAATAACGTTATGCAGAAATGAAGTTGGGCCCAATATCACCGGCTTCATGAAGAATGATCACCACCCTCATATATGCATGGAAGTTCCTTTGCCTTCGTTCCATTCCAGGTAGACCATGTTGATCTAGAAATTCTCATGTTGAATTTGAGCCCGTCTTCTCATTCCATCTAATCACCATTATTACCATAGGTTAGCATTGGTCCACCGGTAGGCATATAGCAAGGGCCCCATCAACAACAGGAGTAAGACTTACAAATCCAAAAATAACCTCCAAAGAATCGTAAACAGCAGCGACTGGAGCCCGTTGCACAGGATTCGCGTCTTGAGACCTCTGCCGAGCAATCCGCGGATCCCGTCCGCTTGGATAACCAGTCTGCCAGCCTCAGCTATGATGTGATGTCAGTTAATGTAGCCAGCCTTAAGATAAAAAAGAAAGAAAGACTTACTATACGAGACGTTGGTATCGTTAACCTGCCGATACGTCTTGACGACCCGCAGCGAGTTGGACACCGAGTCGGAGACGACCGACGCAACGAACCCGATGAAGGCGAGACGGAGGAGCCATAGCACCAGAGGGTGTCGATCTGGGTAGTCCGGTATGGAATGTTGGAGGGAGTTGTACTGCCCATATCCATCAGTATCCATCAATTAGCACCGAGAAAGGAACTGAACATAGTTACTTACGGTAGCAAACCACGGGTAGTGTCCAACAAACGTCGCAGCGGCCGTGGCAAACGCTCCCCACCACAGGCTTCCGATCCCGTTGGTCTTGATGCGCTGGCGGAGGATGCTCGTGCCGCGAGCACCGCGCGTCTGGAGGGTTGTCTTGAGGGTGTCGATCGGGGTGAGGATCATTCGGAAGGAGGCAGCGCTATGTACATTTAGGTGATTATTGGAACGGTAAGTTATCAAGGATAGAAACCCACCATAATGACGCAAAAACGGTCTTGGCCAGCTCTGGCATGTCCTTCAGGTACGAGTTTGACTGGAGCAAGGCTAGGATACCGGCGTTGGCAGCTGTGTCGCCGAACCTCGCTATCGGTCCTGATTAAACGGCACAAAAACACAGATTGTTAGCAAACATAAACTGGCAGCTTCAAAAAGTGATGAATAATTAGATTTCAGGGAAGATTTACCTTGAAAAAGCGCCGCACCAATACCTTGGTAGTACCGCCGGGGTCCGCCATCATGATACAGGGTCTTGGTTGCGCCGGTGAAGGTATTTCCGAAGCGGTACTGGTAGTTCATGATGGTCCTGAGTGGCTGCAAGGTAAATCGGTTTGATATTAGTTCGGACTCTATGCTGGTGTGACTTTGAGAAGTGAACAAGATGCAATCTCACCATCAAAAGCAGCACCTGCAGAACCATGGACGCAGCGCCGCTCAACCCGCCTCCCAGTGCCTTCCAGAGTGCGTTTCCCAGGTCGAACTATCATCAGTCAATGTGAATTCTGTGGCCTGCGAGGCTGATAAAATTGGGTATGAACCTACGTGAACATCGCTGCCGGCATCAACCCACCCCTTGATAAAGACGGCGAGGATGGCGATGCCCGCGACAAGCGCCAATATCCTCCGGATGTACCAACCCGATGTGTGCGACTTCTCTGCTTGCTGCTGCTGCTGCTGCTGCTGTCCGTCCTCTTGGACACTGACAACCTCGGGTGATTCTTCGCCAAAGTCAGATGATGATGATGATGCCGTCGACGCTTCCCCGCCTAGAAGCGGTGTCTGTTCGTTGGAAGTCGTCTTTTTGGTTCTTGAAGCCTGGCTTTCCGTGTCGCTATCACGAGGATTTGCGGTGGCCATCTTGATGATCAGCACAAATTCAGTTCCGACTCCCTCAGATTGCTTTAAAATAACGAATACGCGGAAGGTCCGGATACCGAATTCGGAGTATAGAAAGTATGCGCAACGAATAATTCCAATCTAACCACGGATGGATAGTCGTAATCCTGTTGGATATGTACAATACAGTATATATGCTCTGTTATGTTGTGAATTGCGCTGTTTTCAACTTTTGAAAGACGTTCGAGTTCAAGAAATGATCAAGGGCGCTCTATTTATAATCCATAGGATGCAGTTCCCCCGCCCCGGCAATAATCCAATAATGAGCTAATGTAGTAATTGATTCATCCAATGACGTGCTTCCACTCACAGTTCATCAACATCAGCGTAGCAGTTGTATTCTTTTTCTTTTTCTCTTATTCTGAGCCAGTTACTAGACCAAGTAGAGCATGAGGTATACCTCTCAGGATATCCATTTGCTTTACTTTGAATCAAAGTGGTATTAACTTTCAGATTAATCACTTCTTGTCCTTGACCTAGTCATAAGGCAGCCGGCTCCCTGCCCAGCGCATTATCTCCCTACCACGTGCCTACCTAGGTACCTTACCTACCTGGTATATATATCTACAATAAACACAGATGCGTAGCGCAGTGTCTAGACTGTTATGTGTCGTGGAGCACCTTGCATTATATCTCCTATTTCAATTGACTTTTATAGAAATAGAAATCCACATATCATCCTCCTTTTCTCTACAGTATCTATGATCCGCGCTTTTCACCTTAGCTGGAGAATCCAGAGTGGTGGGCCCTGTTAGGGATACTTATTCACGGCCTCAGTCAGGCGCTGGCTCAATGAACAGTGCCAAACAGTTGGCAAGAAGCTTCGTCCGCCTCGATCCAAATCCAGCGGCTCAAATCTGTCTTTTTCGAACTCGATTATTATGGTACCTTAGGTTGGGTGAAGAAGTTCACGTGGGGTGGCTCGGCCGGTTCAAGTTCAGTTCAACGCGTAGTACAATATACGTACCTCACCTACCTGGGCTATACCAACACATTTTACAAACGCCTGCAGCAAGAAACATGGCCGTGTAGTATAAGGGGTAATACTGCTAGGCGTCGGGCGGAAGATCGAATTTAGTCTACCCCCCGTTGCGTGGACGGATCCCGGTTCGAATCCGGGCTCGGTCGTGTTTCTTTTTTCCTTTTTTCCTCCATCTGAACGAAATATCACTATGCTCGGGATTATTGCGATACGTATGTGTAGGTAAGGAACTGGGGCAAACTTGAGCATGAAGAATAGTATAATGCGTACCTATACTACGAAGGAAATGCACGAGATAGGGCTGGGAACTTCCTAATTATAATAAAATATTGAGCCAAAGTAAAGAAACTAATTATAAATGATATGGCTGCCAGCATCTCCTAGTCTCATCTCACTACCGACTCTTCTTCTCCGTCTTTACACCCCCACGACGAAACCTGGCCAATAGTTCCTCCTGCGTAAACGGCCGGGTAAGGCTCTTGAGAAAAGCCTTCCTCTCTTGCATCGTCAGGTTGGTCTGATCCCCCAGCGGGATCATGCACCGGGCGAGATGATCATAATCCTTCATGAACAGTCGGATAGCCAACATCACGTAGTCCAGACTGTGCAGCACTATAGAGCCCTTCTTCGCGTACGCCCCCTTTTGCTGGAGAAAGGCGGTAGGGTGGTCGCGCCAATACCGGCGCGGGTTGAGAAGGTGCGAGGTGTGATAGCCGTCATTGAAGCAGTGCCGGTTGCTCTAATAACATAATATTACAAATCAGTCCAGGTTATATATACCACGGATTTGGATTGACTCACGGCAATATCGATCAACGTAATACTCGACTTGAAATCTGACTAGCTCGTCTCGATCGATAAACGCGTGCTGGTCCCAGATCGCCATCATGAGCCACAGCCTCAGCACCAGCGCGGGCAAGACGAACGCAAACACCGCCGCAGGTAAAAATGATTCTCGTCGCGAGAAGATAGACGGCGCTCCAGCCCGAGACCTCCCAAAACAGAAACCTGGCGGCCGCCAGCTTTTGGTGGTGCACGTAACAAGACCACGTCAGCTCGAAAATTCAATGAGAAACAAAAACAGGAGAAAGTAGCACGTAAAATACCAGATGCTATCCCTCCGGTAGCGCATCGTCGACGATAAATCGTTTGGCCCGTTGCCCTCGCGGTGGTGCATTTTGTGGTGGTAGTAGAACGAGTGCCACGTCTGGCCCATCAGCGGGCCGATGATGTATGGAAAAAAAGTGATCGAGGACGGCGTATCCGCGGTCGAGGACGCCGTTCTGGTGGAGGTGTTGGTGCATCATGGTCGAGAAGGTCCCATCAGGACGAACATGTAGAGCAGGTGGAGGGTGCCGTGCAGGTAGGTGAATTTGTGGAACAGATAGACCACCTGGGGACGAGGGTGTCAGAGTAGAGAATTATGTGTGTGAGCATGAGCACGTCGCTGTCGTGCCTGACGACGGACAGCGCGAAGCGGATGTATGACCGCATGATATTGTTGTAGACGAATGGGTTGAGGGACGAGCGGATGGTTGTGAGGTTGGCCGTGGATATGACGACGGGCTCGAAAGTCTGGGTGGGATGGGTTGTTTATTGCTTTGGCCTGTGTTACTTTGGCCCCTATATCGATATCCTTGCCGTCCAGCCGTGCCGTCTCTTTGTTACTCTGCCGTGTGATATCGTCAAACAGAACGGAGAGGACGATCTGGTCTGCTCAAAGGGATTAGGTTTATTGTCTCTTCTATAGTACTATGGGGTGAGTTTTCAGAGGATGTCTTGGTATGAGACGGGAAAATGAGCCTCCCTCGCAAAGTATCGATGCGCCTTGAGATGTAGGACGTGGTTGAAGACGAGACTTATCCCGAGAGCTTGGTTTATCAGGGATATACCCGCCTTCGTGACTGTAAGTGAGAATCAGGGCTGCTTATGACGGCGTAGGGAGGATAATTCATCTTGTCTCTCGTAGTTTGATAGCAACGGTTTTGTTATGATTAGATGAGCCTCTGCCCTTCCATCTCGTTGTGGCTGCATTGAAGTTATCATCGCTTCCTCCGCATCCCAGCGCTAACAGGATAATTGCATGCTGGGTATGTTGGGCGGTGCGCTTGTGACACCATACCGGGTATTGTTGGTGATTGCCTCATGGATTTTATTTCACATTCTCAGTGAGCTGATTTGATTGGGCTGTTATGAACAAAATCAAACCAAGCTGTCCTCAGCTGGTTTCACAATGCGGATTAGGCGGCCGCTGCTGGATATGGTCCGTGGCGTTAACAAACTGTTGGACGGGTTTTGCACTTATATTGCGGCGAGGATCCGAAAGATATGGGACAGTTTGTCCAGAGCAATGTTGTGATTTTGATGTTGGCTATCTCAGTTACCTCCAGTCTGTGTGTCCTTCCAAGAAAATGTCATAAGTTGTTTTCAGGTTATGGCGTCTACATACAAAGTTTATGTGATGTATCATATTTGATAACTGATTTCACATGTAGAAAGCCATGATTCGTCGTGAGCAACTGAATCTATTCAAAGTTTATATGCAACAAAATGAAGGCCTCATTCATCCCTTATAAAGCCCCTGGGTGTCAAACAACCGAACAACAACCTGATTCCCCCTCGCAACCGCCACATCCAGCGCCGATTTCCCTGTATCGTTCCGCACACTTACCAAATTCACCCCTTTAGTTGTGCCACGCGCTACAAATTCCCGAAACAGGCGCCTCTGCTGCTCCTCACCCCCCAGACTCGCCTGCTTGGCAGCAAGGTAATGCAGTGCCGTATTACCACGCCCGTCGCAGACAGTAACATCTGCTACGGCCGCCAGAAGGTCGTCGATCAGTCCGTTGAGGTCATCGTGGACATATTCGCTACTACTACCCGTGACGGACAAATACCGCATTCGACGCCGGAGTGCGGCATGTAATGGGTAATCGCCGTTTCTATCAGCCTGGTCCACGACCGAGGAATATTTCTGGAGAAACAGCTGCAAAGTGCGCCGGATGACGGGCGGCTGACCGCCTTGCGCGTCGTGAGACTCGAGCAGATGGTGGAGGGCATTCTTGCCCGCGTTATCAGTGGCAAAGGGATTGCTGCCGCGGGAGAGAAGGGTTTCCACGACGGTGATCTTGCTTTCAGATGTGCCGGGCAGTGCCCTGTCTGCGCCGAGGGCGCTGCGGCAGGCTGAGAGAAGCAAAGTGCGGCCTGCTGGGTCGTGCTGCTCGGTGTCGAGGTTGGGCAGCTCAAAGAGTGGCTGACCGATGAACCCGTCTTCAAGGATAGCGTTGGCGACGCACCGGCGAGCGTAGCTGCGGGTGCCTGCGGGCAGCGAAAAATCGGGAACCGAGACGACAGAGAGGCTGCTGTTCTCTGAGTCGTTGTCGTTGTCATAATCATACTCCTCCTCTTCGACATTATCGTTGCTGTCATTGCCATCATCTTCCTCTTCATCATGATTGTCGTCATCATCATCGTCGCCGTCACCCCAGAAACCACCCAACGAAACTTCCTTTTCCTTTTTTGGGTTTGCTTCATGAATAGCAACTGTAATTCCTTCATCATCCCCGGGAACCTCTTCACCGACCTCGGTGGGAGTCCGTGCCTGTACATCTTTCTCATCCTCATCTATTGGGGACGACGGCCACGCCGGATCTCGAGGCTCGACGCCATGGCGGTATTCCGCATACGGATCCGCCCCATGGGCAAGAATAATCCGCATAAACTCCGCTGTCGTTTCCCTCCTCTTTTCGGTCCTTCCAATATTCGGCAGCTGAAACGATGCAGTACGGTACAACAACGGCGCTTCTGCCTCGAACGAGACAAAGTCGTATCGCTCAGAGTCGGCAGCAAGATCTACTTCATCCTCAAGCTGACGACCGTTATTTCGGTCTGTCATGCGGCCATTCGGATCCGCGCCAGCCACCGCCAGAAATCTCTCGAGCAGATCTTGCCGTCCCCTACCGATAGCAGCCATCAGGTCAGCCACGGTCGGAATGGCGCCCTTGGAGAGAAGAAGCTCGACCAGATCGAGGTTCTTCGAAGATGCAGATGCCGCCAGGATCGAGCTGCCCCAACTGTCGACAGAGTTGACGTCCGCCCCAGCTTCGATCAAGGCGCGGGCAGCTCGCTCAGCATACGGCCCGTTGCTCTCCAGCGCTGTACGTAATGGCGTGCTACCCTCCCAGTTGCGCGCATTTAGATCCAAAGGCGTCGAGAATGGAGTTGTTGGCGAGCACAGATAGGGTATCGCCAGCGCGACCTGCCACCAGTGCATGCCACGGGCGAGCTCGTGGAGCGCCGTGTCACGGCCCACAGTCTTCCTCTCCTCGTACTCGTCGATCTCGTGTCTGAGAGCATCTTGGGCATTGGGATTCACGTGCAGCTTCTCGACCAGCACCCGGATGACCTGCATGTTTGGCAGCTCGCTGCGGCATGCCGAAAGTAGAAAAGGGTCGAGGGACTTGATGGAGTCTGGATCGGTGCAGTCGCCGAGCCCAGGACGGTCGGGGTCACCCGCCGCGTGCCATTTCTTGCCGTTATTGAACTGAGACTCTGCCTCGAGAGTGCCGATCTTCTCCAGCAGATTGGCGTAGCCGAATTTAGCGAGAATATGGAGTTTTGTTTCCCTGTGGCGGGAGTAGTCCGGTTCGAAGAAGTTAATCCCCTTGTGGAACAGAGTCTCGACTTTGGTGTACTCGCATTTTCGGAGAAGAAGCTCGAAACTCTCGTTGATGTCTTGTGGTTTGTTGCGTTCAGAAACCGCCTCGCCTGGCGTAATCCGAGAAAGAATACGCCGGAAACACCCAGTCATATACTCCAACCCCCTTCCTTTGATTTTGTCAAGACCATTCCTGAGGACATCCGCTATCCAGTTAGTCCCCTTGCCAATTCTCTCCGACCAAGCCACGATCATGTCAAGAATCTCATCGATCTTCGCCGTGTCGTGGTCCGTATTGATGGTCATAGGCAAGTCCTCGCCGGCATACTGGCGAATTGCTTTTCCCGAGCGAACAAACGGCCTGCCGGGGTCCTCGAGCGTCGCCCCAAACTCAGAATCAGGCACGACAAAGATCTGGCTCCCGAACTCTGCGAGCGCTTCCTCTTCCCGCTTGTTCAGCCTCCTGTACCCTTCCCACAGCTTCCGCTC